TATATATATATATATATATATATATATATATATATATATATATATACACACACACACACACACACACACACACACACACACACACACACACACACACACACACACACACACATATATATATATATATATATATATATATATATATATATATGTATATATATATATATATATATATATATATATATATATATATATATATATATATATATATATATATATATATATATATATATGCACATCTATATATTTATGTATCAACACACTTATACGGTTTTATACCTTTATATCTAGACACATATATTCATCTGAATTTTATTAAGGAAATTGTACCTTATCTTATACTCTATATTTCAGCTGAAGGGTTTCCTCGAAATAGCTTACTTTGTTTCTTCTCTTCTATAAGATATATGACTTTAAACCTTCTATAATTGTATATTTTCTTTTCTTAAACTATTTATGTATCTGTTTTACACAAAAAAAGAAAGAAAGAAAAAAAAAATCACATCTTTCCCTTTAAGAAAATAGATAAACATTCCAAGAATCACAATCCGCCTTCCAACGCCCACACGCCCATCCTTACCCCCCCCTCCTCCTCAACTATCTCAGGGCCCTCAACTTCCCCCATTTTCCCCTTCCCTGGTTTGTCCCTTCCCCCCCTCCCCTCTCCCCTCTCCCCACCCTTCCTCTGCTCCCCAAATCTCACTCCCTAACCATTCCATACCTTTTTAACTCCCCAAATCTTCCTCCCCCCCCCCCGACTCCCATCCTTCCTTCCTCTCTACTCCACGCCCTTTTAACTCCCAAATCTTACTCCCCCCCCCCCCACCTTTCCTTCCTCTCTACTCCACTCCCTTTAAACTCCCAAATCTTCCTCCCCCCCCCCCCCCCATCTTTCCTTCCTCTCTACTCCACGCCCTTTAACTCCCAAATCTTCCTCCCCCCCCCCCCCCCATCTTTCCTTCCTCTCTACTCCACGCCCTTTTAACTCCCAAATCTTCCTCCCCCCCCCATCTTTCCTTCCTCTCTACTCCATGCCCTTTTAACTCCCAAATCTTCCTCCCCCCCCCCCCACCTTTCCTTCCTCTCTACTCCACGCCCTTTAAACTCCCAAATCTTACTCCCTCTTCATTCCACGCCCCTTTGTCTCCTCAAGTCTTTCTCCCTATCCTTGCCTTGCAGCTCTCCCCCCCCTCCATCTAAACCTTTCACACCTGCCCCCCCCCCCCATCCCCTGCCCAAACCCCATATTCTACTCTACCCCCCTCTCCCCTCTCCCCTCTCCCCTCTCCCTACCTTTCACTTCACAAACTAATTCCAAAATATACATTTCCTCCTTTAACCCCATATTCTACCCTACCCCCATGTCCTTCCCTCTCTCCTTACCCCCCCCCCCTCCCCCATCTGTGACCCGGAGAACTAATTCTTAAATTCCCTCTTTTTACCCCTCCTCCCTCCCTCTGTCCTTCATGCCCTCTCCTCCCCTCCCTCCCCCCCAGATTCCACCCATAATCCCCTTTCTCATTAACCTCTCTTCCCCCCCCCCCTCCCCTCTCCCTCCCTCCCCCTTCCCGTCTCCCCTCCCCCTCCCCCTATCTTTCACCCTCCAAACCATTTCCATACACCCCGCGCCCCCCTTCCCTTTTTTTTCCGTTTCCCTTTTTTTTTTTTTTTTTTTTTTTCCTTTTCCCTTTTTTTTATTTTTTTTTGATTCCTCATCTCTCCTCACCTTCGACCATGAGGAAAAAGCCATGTGGGTTTTTGCGCAGGATCTGAATGGCTTTGACGGTCATCTCCACCAGGGAAGGGTCGCCTGTGGGGCCCTTGTTTCTGTCCACCTCGAAGTCCAAGTGGGAATACCCGAAGATTCCTGAAGGAGGCGAAGGAGGTGGTATCATTAAACAGTACTGTTAGGAAGTATTATTATTAGTAGTATTAGTCTCATTACCATATATACTAGTCTGATGCTTATAGATAAAGATATAGATATAGGTATAATTAGATAGATAGAGAGATAGATAGATAGATCGAGAAATAAATAAATAGATAGATAGATACATAGATAGATAGAGATAGATAGATAGATAGATAGATAGATAGATAGATAGATAGAGAGAGAGAGAGAGAGAGACAGATAGATAGATAGATATAGTTAGATGAACAGAGAGCTAGATCGATAGGCAGACAGACAGATAGATAGTTAGAAAGATAGATAGATAGATAACTAGATCGATACACAGATATATACATAAATAGATAGGTAACTACCTATCTGTTTAAATATGTATCTGTAGACAGGTAGTAGACAGACATAGACATAGAGAGAGAGAAAGAGAGAGAAAGAGAGAGAGAGGGAGGGAGGGAGGGAGGGAGGGAGAGAGAGAGAGAGAGAGAGAGAGAGAGAGAGAGAGAGAGAGAGAGAGAGAGAGAGAGAGAGAGAGAGAGAGAGAGAGAGAGAGAAGAGAGAGAGAGAGAGAGAGAGAGAGAGAGAGAGAGAGAGAGA